TTGGCAACGCAATCGAAACCTCATCCCGAAACCTCGAAATCCCATTCTCACCTCTTAGAAAAATCGACGGTATCGACAGCAGGATATAGCCGCATACGAATCGTGACGGTAGGACTACGTAAAAGATGACAGCGGGAAAGTGAAGATGTACCGCCCAGACTAGTGTGGTTGTTACGGTCTATTCTAGGTATTGAATGGCGTCTAGACGGCTGCGGCAGGCCTGTCAGGTTTGCAGATGGCGGGAAACCGCATGATGCGTCGTATCAAGGCCGTTGTGAGGGAATTGTACGAGTGTGGTAGTATGTGACCAGGAGAGTAAGTTCTATCCGGTGTGTGTATAAGCAAGATAGCAAGCCGGGGCTGTGGAACAAGTTGATAGCTGCGTTGATCCCTAACGTTGTTCGCCGCTGGATATCTAAAGAGGCAGTTGTCTTGCTGATGGTCTCGCCATCGTCGACACCGAAGCAGTTTATGCCATAGTTTCTATTTTCAGGGTCTTTAATCTTCGCTTTCCTTCGTACGGATAGATCCTTTACATCTCAGGCATTTGAGGGTATCGATGCGTGAAAGTACAGAGGCGTAAAAGTAATCCGCCACTCTACGGAAACCATGGAATATTCTCTCGTTGAGGCAGGAGTCATAGGTACCAAGCGAGATTCTCATCCAGGTCTCCGTGCCCTAGATGCGCTCCGGGAAGATCAGATGTAGTTTACCGGCTATTACTGTTGGGGACTATCATCAACCGGTACGCCAACTCCTACCTTGGGCTTCTGTGGGAAACCGCTCGTCAAATCCCAAACCGCATACCCCCGATACCGCCGTAATAAAGTGTCAAAGCTGGTAACATTGCTCGCTCTCGTAGTCGATCTCGTATTAATCCATATGGCAGTTCTAGCTACTTTCGGGGGGTATTTCTACCTCGCGGTTCCCAATGCAATGTCCCTGACTTGGATCGCACGAGGGTTATTATCAGGCCACGGGTGCGATGGGCCTTCCTAGATCCAATCCGCAATACAGTAGCATGGCCATATGGTTTGAAATTCGACGTAGGGCGTAAAGCTAGTGACACTCTCGTGTGTTGACTGCCAGTCGAGTCAAGTTTCCGAGTAAACGTCTTCCTAGAGAACTACCATTCGAAAGGACGGTCACACTCTCGATATTGGTACTATCTCAACCTAAAAATTTGGAAACAGGTCAAATGTGGAAATATGGGCTACTACAAGATAACGACGTTGCCGTAATGGAAGATCCCCTTTAACAACAACGGCTACAGGACGACCTGATCGCCCAGTGCGCCGGTTCGCTATGAGAGATAAGCATGGGGGGAATTTTTGCGCAAAGGGCAACTAGGATATTGCATAGACGATTACCGTTGGATTATGCCTCGTTAGAAGCCTAGGAGTAAAGTTTCAAAATCACCAACTTCTAGTTTAGACTCTAGCGAGAAACAAATGTCACCCAAATATTGATAGACAGCCAGTCGAAACGCGAACGAAGCCCTCGATGATAAGGGAACGATGGGCTACAACTCATCCAACTGAAAATACGATCAATACATTCGGGTACAAGGAAAGCTAACAAGGCTCTTGTCGATTCCAGAACACGGTTTAGCTACCTTTAAACCAAAGTAGTATAGCGGGATACGATGGACATATAAGCGATCCTCGTATTGGTTACGCACAGTTGACGGGAATCTAGCCTATTAAAATGGTATTATCTAAACTACGTGCTTGAGTTTAACTTTCCTCTGCCATAGCGCGTAGACACCTCGCAGATGATACCCGTTGACTACCTGTCTGGAAGCCGCTGGGAGATTTCGGTTATACTAGGCGATGGAGGACGTATAGGGTACATGGAGAGAGACGACCGAGGGAAATCCTATTAGGGACGGAACGAAATCGAGACAGTTATCATAGAACAAGACAAGGCATACAGGTAGAATACTGTACTCTCGATAGATCACATCTCTGAGGATCTAAGTCGCCTGGACATCGCTCTCAACATCGTGGAGATATCGGATACGATCTTTGGAATCAGCTGACTTAAGGCCAGGAATTTCAATATTCCAAAGTTCGGCCGTTAGAAGTCGCAAAAACTGTCGTACGCAGTTCTAGGTATACGGATATTAGTAGCAGTATATCGAATGCTGGCATTAGGTCTCCCGGGGCATGCGGCGTGCTGAGCTACAGAGTGGAATCCTTCGTATCTTGAAACTCCAACTTTGGGGATATGTTAGCCACTCCTGCTGAGCTTGTGTCGGTACGTGAGCTACTATTCATTGCTGCCGATGTTTCCCGCCTCTATACCATCGAAAGCATGTCTCCACGGCTCTCTTATAGGGCAGTCGACTAGCGACCTAAACAGCCCAGGTATCCTCTTGTGGTTTCTCCGATGAATCTATCGTCGTAGTGTACTGTTGCTGTTTTAGCTAGCTAAGACTCAATTCTCGTAGCTTTTGTCATCGAGTACCAGGCTTCACAGCTTCTCGAAAGATGCGGAGGTATTTAGATGCCCCGTGAATAGCATGAAGTCTTCTTGAACGGCTTAGATCACGATACGAGATCGCCCGTGACCCTAACATTACGATTTCTATCCCTCCTTATGTATACAGGTTACATACCGCATACACGACTCGAGCATCCCGATCCGAAGATCTGAACGCAGGGGTACCACACTGGTACTTGAATCTTACAGGATTTTCGGGGATAGGGCAGAACGGACATTCATTGATCAAACTCATGAGGGGAATAATGAATAGTACAAAGATCTTCACAGTATCGGAGACGGCTGTACGGATGGCTAAGGGACATGACCCATTGCTTTCAAAACGCTATGCGGATCACGGGTACAAGTCGATATCATCCGAGCTTACAATCGCATTGGGTATATTCCAAGGTATGATCGCTACGATCCTTGAAAGTATCTAGATAGGCTCGTATTCGTCTAGACGGCGTGTTGGTTTATTCGAGTAATGAGGAAGAGCATCAGAAGTACGCGCCTGTTGTTCTGAGGTATTCGGAAAAGCGAATCTGCTAGTTTATCGAGAGGAAATGATGTAACTAGACTATCGAGAATTCACGATAACCCGGGAGATTAAGAATTCAGGACGGAAGATAAGAGTAGTGAAGGGTTGGTCTAAAGCATACGGAGTTCTAGGACTTTGTTAAGGGAATCGATCGCGAATTTTTGGAATATCGCCAGACCATTGACGAAATCGACCAGCCTAGAGAGTCAGAAAGGACCTTTTAGATTCGCAGGGATAGAAGATCCAACAAATCAAGGAATCACAATGAGATGATGTAGGAGGAATCTCAAGACAGACGTATCCGATATTGTTATTAGAGTAGTCTTAGACTGAGACAATAGAAAATAGTTTTCCATTGTATGTTCACAGGTATCACTGACAGTCATACTCACATAATGGGAATCATGGCTCTGTTGAAACGAGTGGTCAAGGGATTACTTCCGGGTACAGAACATGGTATCTTGGAAAGGAATATAAGGACCTCCCTCCTCATTCATTCGCTTGGTAGACTAAGTTGATATACAAATAGTTACAGCTTATATGCAGTATCTTTCAGCAGGCTAGGCGGAAGCAAGGAGCCTACTGATTCCGGTCGTAGGATAATGAGATTCTTGTCGACGCAAATGCCCAAGGACGTGAGCATCGAACGATTTCTTATCCTCGTTCAGTTTCTAGATACGTCACATTGAGGGAAAACATTTAGGCAGACATTCTCAATCAATGAGGAAATTATGAACGAGGTCGAGAAACGAACTTCACAGATGCTTGAACTCGATCCAGATGGAACTGTCACTCTCATACATCTGAATCGATGAGGATGACTAGATACACAGCTTTGACGACTGCAGTCAGAAAGGCAGTTTAACGATGCGAGGATACCGAGTGGTTTCTTGACATAGGAAATATGAGCCGGCAACTCCGAGAAAGACTTCGCCGAGAAATATGAATATTTACTACGTGCTCTATAGTTTCTTCGACGATGAAAGGATTATGAGAAACTTCCCCGGCCTTGCAATAGCGGTCGTACAAGTCGGGGAATGTGATTGTGGTAAAGTCGGTGAGATAACCCGTGTGGACTCCTATGTCCTATCGAAAACTGGACAAGGCATAGAAGTGTTATAGCTTTGGATTTCGTCGCAGGACTACCGACTTATAAAGATCCGGTTATGGCATCTCGGCGTGACGGCGTACGGACACCCCATCCCATACGGTAAAGAGAGCACGGCGAAGTGACTAGCCTTTGCATTCGTTCGCACATTCGACACTTGAGAATTATTCGAGACGATTGGGTAGAGCTGCTACCAATTGCTCGAGTCACTTACAACACCGCGATGAACGAGAATATCCGAGCATCACCGCGAGAGGCACTATGTGGTTGAGAACCGCGACGAATGGGAAGGAGATAGTGATCGGGCGTCGGAAGAAACGCGAATGTCCCTGGTAGCTGAAACCATGGCTACGAAAGTTCAACACTACAGTCGAGAATATACACGAGGCTACAACTCGCTCAGGACGATCGATATAGGCCGATTCTGCGGGGGGGCGAGGTTTGTTACGGCGGAGAAAGCGTTCGACACCACAAAAACGAAACGATGGGTTTATTCATACTGATATATCACCGATTTCACCCCTCATAGAACACTCATCGTCAGTGATATAAGCATATACTTCTGTCTCTTATCAGCAGATGCCACTGCAACGAAAAGGGTAACCAAAGGAATATTAGAGATAGACATCCTTCTCGAGTTAAGTTCCCTCCATCTATACCTTTTCCGAGCCAAGCTAATGTGATGCCCTTTTTTCTATCCTTTCCCGATTTTATATCCGCCCCATCGTAGATATCAGTTGCAGCTTATAGCCGATGTAGCCTAATGTATATAACTTCGCCCTCGTTCCTCTGATATTTGAAACGACGAAAAAAACCATAGACCTTCCTATGTCCTGAAAGATCAGCGTCCAAGAAACAGCGCGAGTCTTAAGCGGGTAGACTATTCGTAACCTCGGCAAAAGCACTCCACTGCTTCCACGCTTCGCCGCTCTCTATGGCCCATCGTGCACGGCGTACACCCTCCTTCCAGCGTCCGCCTCCTGGTCCGCGTTCCCTAATAACCTTTCCGTCGTCGCCGGATCCCATGGCGCTTTCGTCGGCCTCGCAGACCCCTGCGGATACTAGGAACGCGGCTGTGTTGATTAGCACGAACTCGAGGATCGGGTCGTTAGGTAGTAGCTCGTTATTTAATAGTCGCCGTAGTATTTCGGCATTCTCGTGCGGCTCGCGGCCGGGAGACACGGTACTCAGCGGGTGCGTGCTTAGCCCAAAATCGGCCGGCTCTAACGTAAAGTGTTCGACGTCTATCGTCCCGCTGGCGTGTTCTACCAGCTGCCAGCATAGCGTAGGTCCGGCGCACGATACCTCGTCTAGCTGCTCCTTGCCGCATACGACGAGGCCCTTCTTAGCGCCGGCGATGCGTAAAGCCTCGGCGAACACGGGACCCAAGTCGTCGCGGGCAACGCCCAACATGCGGGCTTCGATAGCGTCGCCGAAGGGGTTGCTCAGGGGCCCGAGAAGGTTAAATATGGTACGCCAGCCTAGCTCCTTGCGTACGGACGCGACGTGCTTCATGCCCGGATGGAAGACGGGGGCGAACAGGAAAGCATAGTTGGTGCGCGCGTATACTTCGGTAATAGTAGAGGGGTTTATGCGGCCTAGCTGCGCGGGCGTCGGTTGCATGTTCATAAGTAGGTCGGCAGAACCGGATTTAGATGTCGAAGCACGGTTTCCATGCTTGGCTAGGAGAAGGAGAGAGGAGGCGAGGATAGAAGATGTGGTTGATATGTTGAAGGTATTGTGAGAGTCGCCGCCTGTGCCAACTATGTCACACTATATCTGTCCGTTAGACTTTCTTTTGCTATAATAGTCATACTCCTTTAGAAATAAAAAGACTCACTAGTCCACCATTATACTTGCCCTCGGGTCGCCGCCGCTTCTCAATGACTTTGTTAAGAGCACCGGAGTCGATCTTGGCAGCATGACGGCGCATAGCTGCGGAGGCTTCGGCGAGGACATCGGCACGGCGGTCCCAGCCGGTAAAGTGCAGAGCCGTTAGTAGCGAGCCGGTTTGGACGGGACTAAGCTGGTTGGTGAAGATGAGAGCGAGGGCGTCGGCAATTTCTTTAGCTGTCACATTGTCTTTGGCTGGATCGGGCCATAGGCGCTGAAGCAGCGGCCGTATATCCACATAAGTTTGGTCTTGCTCGGCCATAGCGTTATCGATTTTGAAGCTATTCGGTGACCCTTGTCTAAGCTTGGATATCCTCTTATGATTGGAGGGTAAGATTGTTATAAGATAGACTCGACCTTTTGACAAATGAGTATCCTACTACCTCGATTAAATTCGAGGACTATTTTCACATGGATAATATAAAGGAGCTATATCGAATTAGCTTGGAGAACCAAAGCTCCTTCGTGACTCAAAGCCGTTTGCGAATTGACAAGGTTAACAGCTTGCGATACGGAATAGTACCCCGCGAAATATGTACCTATTGAGCCGATCTATTTATGCAGTATGCGCCATAGCGGGACTCTTCCGTCTTCCGATGGGACCTTGGCGAAGATCTACCGCTTAGCTGCTTAGGTAATATCCTTAAGCACAGGCCTCTAACACCTTTTGAATTCGATTGGATCAAGTTTTGAAGCTCTCGCCAATCTTCAATTCGGGGCAAAATTATACAAAAAAGGTGGCATCGCACCCGACGATAGGGCAACGTCATTACGACTACTCGAGGGCATAAAAATTGTTAATACGTACTAGAACCCTCCAAGACCCTATAAGAGATGCCGCCGCGAATCAATTGCTCGGCGCGGAGCAGTGTCAGTCGAGCGCTTCAAAGGACGAGTTATCAAAAGCCTACGGTTATCTTACTACAAAGCTCGAGGGGCGCATCTAGACGCTATGCGAGCGCCTCCGCTTCTCCCATACCCGTTGGGGCCTTAAGACTTCCCGATGATTATATTCCGCCGACGCAGCCCCCGAGCGCGAGACGACCCGACCAGCGAAAATCACAACTACTCAGATCTTATACGGCTCTGCTTCGTTCGACACCCCTAATCCTATTCTTCCAACATAACAACCTTACCGCTATAGAATGGGCTGCTATCCGGCGAGAACTGCGCGCGGCCCTTGCTAAGGTTCCGGCACCTGCCGTCGGGCTAGGCGATAGCAGCAGCAGTATACCTATGGATATTTCGTCGAACATCGAGCTGCAAGTTCTTCGTACGCGCATCTTTAACGTCGCTTTTAAGGTGGTCGAGTTCTTCGACGCTAGCGCGCAGAAAACCAAGTCCAACGCTTACATGCACGACCTATCCTCTACAGCATATAAGGCTATCAACCAGGCCGCCACCGCCGTCGATGAGTCTTCGGCGTATTATCAGGTTTCCCCGCTGCTTGTCGGACCCGTTGCCGCTATCACTTTCCCGGCTGTCTCTCCGGCTCATCTGGCGGCCGTGCTATCAGTACTATCGCCTTCGCCCCCAGCGTTCCCTGCACCCTCGCGAAAGAAGAATCCGGGATACTACGATAATACGGCGCAGAGCGGGCTGCAGAAGTTACTCCTAATAGGTGGCCGTATAGAGGATCGGGTATTCGACCAAGAGGGCGTTAGATGGGTTGGCGGTATCGAGGGCGGCGTCGACTCTCTAAGGGCACAGCTTATTGCCATGCTCCAAAGCGCCGGGCTAGGTCTTACGACAGCGCTGGAAGGACATAGCAAGGGATTGTGGCTTGCGTTAGAGGGCAGAAGGACGCAGCTTGAAGAGGAGGCCAATGGAGGTACTAAGAAGGAAGAGACAAACGAATAGAGTATCAAAATCTTGATGGGACGTGTGTAGCATTATGCTGCTGTATATTTATCGTATCCTGGATTTGCTGCATGTTAGTATCTAGGTATCTACATACTATCACTTTAAGATCACGATGCTTTTCTACCTATTTAGTACGATCCCGATATGGCTTGCTCATAAAGATGTGAATATTAGAATTCATAGAGGCATCCGATTTAATTGGATGCATATATCCCATATATTAGGTAGGTAGGTAGGTACCTATGCACATCCTTAGCTGTTATACCCCCCTAAGACAAGTACCTATACCCCTGTTACACGTTTGACCAGGGCTTAAATAAGACTAGCTCCTGCAAGTTCGCATTGCGTATTGCGTTCCACCGTCTTGGGATCTTGGGTGGTGTCCTGCAACTTCGATCAACATTCAATTACATCTATTATATAGTTATCTAAATATAACCCACCCAACGTCATTTCAACATTAAATATTCCACTTATACATGTACATTCAAAAGCCAACCATTCCATCGTCTACTACTCCCCACCACCATTCTTCTTATACCTATCGAAAATCCCCCCCAACAAACCTGCCGCGATGGATTTCGCTCCCTATCAATCCTCTCCGCCCGAAAACAGCCGTCCCTTCTCCCCGCCTCGGTCCAACGCCGCGTCGCCGCGCGCTTCCTTCGATAATCGTCGGCCTTTCTCCCCTTCTCAGCAGCAGCAGCAGCAGCAACGCGGCTTTACGTCCCCGCCGCCTTTACAACATCCTCAACCTCAACGTTCGTGGCAGTCCTCGCTTCCCGGTGCCGGTGTCGGTAGCAGCTACGCACCTGAGACTGGGGCGTACGTGAGCGAGTTCGATACCAGCCTTGGTATACGGTTGGATTATGAAGCTTGCCTAGCGTATATTGCGCTGCCGCCTCTAGGCGCAATAATATTGTTGATAGTGGAGCGGAAGAGCGATTTTGTTAGGTGGGTTTGCCTGTTGGCTTAGCTGTTTCTAGCAAATTAGATCTGCTAAGAGGGCGACGTGTTTCGAGATCGTCCAGGAATATCGACTATAATGCTAACATATTTCTAGGTTCCACGCGTGGCAGTCCAGTCTGCTATTCACCGTCGTTTTCATCGTACACCTAATCTTCTCGTGGTCTACATTCCTAAGTTGGGTCATATTCCTTGCGGATCTAGGCCTGATGGGGTGGCTAGCCCTGCGCGCATATCGGGATGCAGACACGTTAGATCGGTAGGAGATTAACCTTCTTGATATTTTCCGGTTAAGACGTATGCTTATGTTTAATAGATTCGAAGTTCCTATTTTCGGTCAAATAGCGAGTAGAATACTCGACGACGAGTAAAACAACCGCGTTAATTCACCTGTGGTTGTAACGGAGTTCCGGGACTGAAATATAAAGCCGGGAAAAGGCTTTAATTCTCTGTATCATATCGATTTCTGTGGATGATGTACATATACCCCAAGTGCCCTGAGCTGGCCTTTGTTCTAATACAAACTAATCTGCTTGACTTGACCTTGACACGATACTTGTTAGCACCTAGGATTATAGTATGTCGAATACGGACACTATGGCTCTAGAGGTTACTTTACCGTCCCATAGGTTCAGTCGGCTGGGTCTATAAGGAATACTGATAGGAATTATAGCGTTATTAATATGATACCGAGTCTCAGGATGAGTCAAACTACGGTCAGTGTTAGATCAAGACTATTCTCAGTATATTACCAGCCGAGATACATCCTATTTTACATTTCTTAGACTTGGCAATTATCATGTACCTCCCCTTCGAACTTTGGCGAATGAATATTTACGATAGAATTGCTGGAGATGGACCAGTGGTTCAGGCCAGTACTTCGGCAATATTGATTAGGGAATTCATCATTCATCACAGGATCAACGTAGTGAACATTAGCATTATACGGAAAGCTTCATCTTGATCATCTAGCTACAGGAAAGCCACCAACTACTTTACTGCACTCCGCGAGTACATCACGTCTTGCCTTTGTTCAGGTAGGAAGGCTGGCAAATGATTGTTCGAGTCGGAATATAAGACCATAGACATATCCTTTCTTGCCAAAGGCTTGAACCTAAGAAAAGAATATTATCGACAACACGAAAAGTAGCGTACTCAAGCTGATAGTTAGGAGAACGCCGCCGAGATATGTCAGAGCAGGGTGGAAGCCACTCTTAAGAACGCTGAAAACATAGACGAGGAAGCCATCCATACTGCTACGTAGGCATTTCTGGCTATGAATGATATCGGGGCGCGTCTTGTAACGGCTTCCTACGAATGCCTTTTCGTGTTCGATTGTGGGGGTTTGTGGCGTACTATCGACGCCTGAAGCATGTGAATATGAGGGTGGGGTAAGAGAAGATATTCTCTTAAGGACCAAGGCACCCCAGGGCGTAGTGGTATTGTTCAGTCGTGATGAGGTCGTGCCGTTCGCAGTGGGAACGATAAGGCGCGAGCTTGCCATCGACATGCTTGCCAAAGATGCAACTACTAGAGCACAGATTCTATTAGTAAGAGGGATAATTGGATATTGATATGAGAAGCTGTTAACCTACGCGATTGTTTCTGCTGGGGATGTTTGGTGCCCGTCGACATTGGATGGTTTCGAAGGGACACACCTTGGTAGATGACTTTACCATACGGATGGCTTCCATGAAATCCTGATGAGGTAGGAACACTAAATGTTTCTATTAGTTCATAGAAAGATATGATAGGCTTAGCAAGAGACACTTACAATGGTTCAATGCGATGAAGTTTCTGGGAGCATCGCCCATTGAATGACCTGTTGACGAGGAGGGAGGTCGCTCGCGAGAGAGCCGCCATGATGTCAAGATCTACTCGGAATGCAACATAACTGGTTTGTTTTCCTGTGGTGGTTGAATTATATTTGCAACTGGTTTTGGGATGTTTGCAATTTAACCAAGTGCTGCTGTATTGCAAGAAAAGGAAGTTTGGAAAGTGGACACGGAGAGGAAAGTACTCTGGTATGTTTAGGTACCTGGTACACGAGAACTAGAAGGAATTGAGTAGATATCTGAAGGTCGTTAGGTTGAGTGCGAGCAAATCGAAGCCTAGTAACTATCAGATATCGTCCGTACAACACTTTATGATGGGGTAAAACCAACGTATCCCACTAGAAGAAGGCAAGTCCACTGGAAGAAGGCGAGTATGATTCTAACTGAACCGTCTTCTCTCGACTATCAAGTATGTAAGACCGAGCTTTAAGGAAGTCTTGTTAGCCTTAGTTACGAAGCTATCTGTATCTACATGAGAATCGGCTTGACCGTTTATCAATAAGCTTGATCTCCATAACAACGCACTATCCTATTACATTTTCCAAGTCCTACGATAGATCTAAGGAACTGTGTTGTTATCTCGAAGATACTACATAGCCGAGTATACGTTGTGGGATAGAACCCTAGCGTGAACGTCTTACTACCTCTTTGTTGAGTTTATTCGGATCGACATACTATTATGAACGACGTTGTGAAATTCATCAACCCCTTAGATTTAGCTTCGAGATATCCTACTTGCATTGTAAGAGATAATTCACGACCCAGAGTATTCTTAGTGCAAGGCTTCTTTAAACTTGGATGTCCACGATGATACTATAGTAGTTTACCATAGCCTCATTAAATCCGGTCTGTGTTAAATTGCAGTTCAGCATCCTTTGGGCAAGGTTTCAGGCTTTGTGGTTCTCATCCAAGTCAAGCATGTGTGCAGAGATAATGATGGCATCGTATAAGATTTCTACTATCGTCATCTAACTTCTATTCTCTACGACGAATTTATAATTAATGGCTCAATATTAACCCTTGAGATCCACGCTGCCTCGCTTAACCGACCCGTGGAAGGCCAACAACTAGAACACGCAACCTGTCTTTCGGATGAAGTTTGGACTCGAGTTTCATTACTATCCTACCTATGTAGTCATATCGTTCTCGATGGGAAGGTTATTCTCCTCGGAGGAGATTTCCCGACTTTGCCATATCTGCAGGAGTAGCACCGGGAGTTGTTGGGTCTACCGGGGCCCCGATTGACAAGGCCTTTTCCATGAGTGGTGACATCACAGGAGGTTCCTCGACGATCCAGCCGTCTTCCTCAGCAACCGCCCACCGTAAGGAATCGAGCATGGTTTCGTTCCAGTGTCTATGCGAGGGCAAACCTACAAAGGCATAGAAGGCATGGGGGAGACCTGGGAAGATATGAACTTTTGTCCGGACCCTAAGAGGTTGAGTGTTAATGTTAGGAAATCGGAATAATACCCTTTTTAGGAAACGAGAGCGTTTCTTACCCAGCATTCTTCAACTTCTGGGCGTACCATAGCCCTTCGTCTCGGATTGGATCCCAGCCGGCAACCAAAACAGCCGTGTGCGGCGTGCCTCGCAAGTCCTCTTCGTCGACAAGCGCCGGACTCCACGTCGGATCAGACGGATCGACTTCGCTACCCAGCATGTCGGTGAAGAGTTTCATACGCTGCCTCGGAATTACGGCAGCATCTGCGCACTGCTCGGGGGATGTCTTCTCCTTGTCGGCGAAGAGGTGGTAAGGAAACGCATTCACGTTGACTAAGTTTGGAATTCCTAAGACCTGACCGTGGACGCGGCAAGGCGTGCCGGTTTCGCGTGCCCGCCGCACCTCGTTCTGCACTACGCACGCCGTGAGCGAACCACCTGCGGAGATGCCACCTACGACGATATGGGACGAATCGACGCCGAGCTTCTCCGTATGCGTAGCTACCCACTCAAAGCCGTCGAGGGCATCGTGCCATGGTGTCAAGCCGCTCACGTGCGGCGTGTGACGATAGCAGACGTGTACGACGGTCATAGATAATGCGTGCGCCAACCATGAGCAGTTGAAGAGCTCCGTGTCCAATGCGCCGAAGAAGTAACCTCCGCCGTGGAAAAACACGTAGCCGGGAAGCGGCTTTGATCCTAACAAGATCGGCCGATAACTCCGCACGGTGATAGACTTCCCATCCCGAGTCGACACGACGTAATCCTCTGTGGTCACGAGATTACCTAGACCTGTGGTAGCGACGAGCGTCTTGGCGATGGTAGTACGCGAATGGTTTGTCTTCTGTTGCAAAACCAGCGGCGGAAGATGGTCGTCGCTCCGTGCCAGAAGTGCCGGGTTTGCCGCTGCGAAGGCAAGCCATTCTTTGCTGGGATTACCCCACTGACTGAAATCCATGGTAGACTAAGTATATACCCTATGAATACTAGATAAAGTAGAGTGTATACTAGATACAATAGAATGAAATGATAGTACTCGTTTAGAATTCAAATAAGACTAACATGAATAAGAAGCTGGTTAACGGGCTGAATTTGGGATTCGGACACGAGGAGAGCGCGGAATATTATACATTAACCTCAATGGTCTAACTACAAGGGCCGGCACAAATTATAGGTTGACGTAGACAGGAAAACTTGCAATCGGGGTACGGTTGGGGCCGGGTATTCGTAGCCGCGGGTGCATAGTCCGGAGGATATCTATAAGGGTAGAAATATCGAAGATCAATAACGCGTAATCGAGACGCCCGCCTGGCCGCGTAGACGTCTAGCTCTTTAAGACCAATGGTATTAAGATTATGGTCAAATTCCCTAGAATATATTCGATTTTAAAACCGCTATTAATTTGTATTGATGCCATCCTTCGGGAAATTTACCCTCTTAAAGTGAAATCTACCTGTTGAGGAGTCCTTCGGCGATACGTCTATTAAGCGACAAAGGCGGATTTGAAAAGGAATGATTCGCTAGCCCCCACACGCCACAGTTCTTGAATGGACTTCCTGTTTCGGACCTTTGAATGCGCGAAGGCCGGTCGGTGTCTATCATCCGCGAGGGGAGTTGAGTTATATGGCGGTTTGTACGACAGATGAATTGACGTACGACATATGATCTTCGTGACTGTGGATAGAGACTAAAAGTTGGAATAGCAAGCTGTGAAATATAATTCCTTTAAGGATATCAGATATTACACAGGTGAATTACAGGGAAGTATCCAAGCTCCAAGCTCTAAAGATCTGGGGAAGGTCTTTAACTAGCGCGACCTTCTTTATTCTTGGCAACGTATTATGTAGCCATTTAAACATTAGGAAAGAAACAGGGCATCTATTGCGTAATCTTGAACTAGCGTAAATGTAAGGCAAGCATCCTGGCATCCTAGATGTATCTAGGTAGGATGTATCTTAGGTAGGTAGGTATACATGGTACAAGGGATGGGGGTTGAAAAGTGTATTGCGACGATAATGGGGTCATAACAACATTTATACGTTAACATTATTATTCTCATTTGATCGTTTTCTCATCGATTCCCTCAATTGATCATGTAGACGAAACGAATAGCTTGTCATATAGTTTAGGAGGACTTTGGGTTTAAAACTACACATCACAATGGGGAAAACAACAGACCCAGATCAGCTTCAATATCAATCTGATCTCAACCTATATCAGCCGCGGCAACACTCTTCAGTTGGATTTATCGGTCAAGCATGGCCAGCTAATAAGATTGTCCTAGTCGCTTTATCTATAACATCCTGCGCCATCGTGTTGGGCATCTCGATTGCGCTCGCCGTCGATCCGGACATCCAAAGTTACATTGTTGTCTGGACGGCTCCGCAGGCCGGCGCGGCTCTGCTCTGGTCCGGCATCGACCTCGCTACCACATACGCGGGAAGAATAAACCACCGGCTAATCCACCCGGGCGCTCAAGTAGCAGTACACCTCTTACTATGGATGGGATTCTGCGTCGGGATTGGTTTAACGGCGTATATATTGTCGTGGGCGCTCGCCTTTGCTAGCTCGGACGACCCCGAAGCTTATCCTGAATATTACGAATATTATCATGGTGATAATAACGACTATTACGAGTATTACAGCAAATCCTACATCCGGTCAATGGAGGCCCTCGTAGCATTTCTAGCTCTTTTGATGTAAGTTCAATTTTTGACTTCTCCTGCCCGCTCGCAATTGGTCATAATGCTAAGCTTGTACGTAGAATTATACATTTCCTCTTATTCTGCTCAGCTTGTGTAAAAGTTACAAGGCGCAAAAAGGTTAGCAGCAAGCCTATCGCCATACCTCTTGAGCAGTTGGGTCAGCTATCATCCGGAGGGCATGAAAAGGATAACGGAAACCAAAACGGCACAGTATAATTTGAATCCTAGGTGTACCTAGACATTATTAGGGAAAGGCGTTGTATGTCCACTGCTGGAACTTGCTATTTTCATAAAGGATGGTGTTGTAGTCCGAGCTCTGAATCTCAAAAACGCTGGCATTATATTGACTCAGGTACCTTTCTGGAACTTATCCTAGTATATTATCTAGCTAAACATGTGTCCAAATACAAGTATCCCCGAGGTTCTGTTCAAGACCAATTAAGTGGTTGTAGAGCCGTACAGATGAATTTCTAGATAATAGCATCTCACTATTATACTCGAGTACTTGATACTGAGAGAAGCTCTTTCATGACCTAGCTTTTATACTCGTACGATATTCCACTTAGCAACCGACGTACAATCTTCTAATTCTAGAGAAGCAGAAGATCTAAATTCTATAGAACACGTATATGAAATTGTCTACGTGATGAATCTCTATAGCTAATACCTGACAAGCGAAGTATGAAGCAAATGGTGTACTGAGATAATGCTCTTAGTATTAGCCAATTGACTACCATCTCAGTGAGCAGTAAGTGAGCAGTAAGTGATAGTCCCTCGAGAAAGTTACCCAAGCAGATGCAAGCGAAATAATTCAACTTGGTGCCCATGATATTTCGTAATGTTAATATTTTACGTAGGCCGGCTTCGGGAATATTGGCATCATAAACTGCCATGATCTACGTTGTTATCGGGCCTGTTGGCTTATACACTATTCGATGCCCCTTAGTTGTCATGATGTTGGCACCTCGACATGTGACTATGTAGCATTTCTACTGGGTTTCCGAGTTTGACATAAGCAATGGCATTGCGGACCCTCTTGATATGCTGTCTATTTGAATGCTACTGCAGTGACGTCCATGCCGATAATAGGCCCTTTGCGAATGCTTAAGTGCTTGGGAATGAATTTTGAGATTTTGTCTGATGAGGGAAAATGAGTCTCGTTACATTGTTAGAGTGGTATACTTTATGTCTTCGAGATTGACCTCTAAAGCCCGGTTGGCAATATGCACCGATGCTACAAGACGTGCTGGTATTGTCACGATAACATATGTAGATCAGAATTATTTGCTGCGAGGTTATGCTAGTATTAGTCGGAATTTAACCAGTCCAATAGTCTGCGGACCGAATTGATGTCGAAGGGACAATTAACATGCTGCTCGGTGTATTCGGCCATAACATATCTACGCATAAGGGCTAAAGTGAGCTGGCTGGAATATGTCAGGATGACGTGCAGTCGATGGCGGCAATACTATGGAGAAACTTGACATGTCCAGTCGAGCTCGAAGGACCGGGAATTCCGTCCATATTCCGAGGATGTAAGGCTTGTCCTCGACGCGGCTCGGCGGGCCGGTTCTCCATAAATGACCGGCCAGCATCAGCGGTCTATCGTACAATATTTTAGGCTTTTGGCTGAACTCTAGTTAGAGCTCTAGGGAGATGAAAAAGGGTCGGATAGAAAATGATTGTGAATAGGAGAAGAGTGTATCACCTAACCCTTGGAAGATCTGAGCAGGATCTGGGCCGTATTCGCTACCCGCCTTAAGGAGGTGTGCCTGAACATTGTGACGCACGACATCAAAAAGCCTAATGGACAGGTAAACATCAGCCAAAACCTAGCAATAAGTTAAGATGCTGCTGCACTTCTTAGTGGACCCGATTTTCTGTGCTGCCACATGGACGCAGATATGTTGATGGCTGGCATTGTCCTGTCTCTCCCTTGCGGAAAGGATCGCTAAGCTTCGCTTAAGAGCTCGAGGTAGCCGAGTTGAAGGGAATAGAATAGACGAGACGCCGCACTCGGCGCCGGAATGAAACCCTGCAAACCATTGGATAAGAGGCGATGGTAATAATGAAAATTGCGTCATGTACTTGCTCTGCGTCGATATGGATTTAGAGACAGTCGTCTGCAGGCGTTAGAATTACAAATTGTAGGATTCTCTTTGGGAGTATAATAAGGGTCCTAACCTACCTCATTACCTACCTACCTAATGTACCATGTAAAACCTCGGAGTTGGATGAGAAATTGGATGAGAAAAGCGGATAGGGCAATTCTTAACGAATACCCACTAATTCTGCTTTTTCGTAAACAATTGAGCGGCCAATGTTATCGGGGACGGACTTGGGCAGCAAAAGGAAGTTTCTAATGCTACCGTGGGGACTCGAAAGGATCCACGGTTCTGCCGTTGCAGTCTGAATAAGCTATGCATAGTTTTAGAACTCGATACCCGAGAGTGGAAAACCCGCCGGTTAGATCGAACATGGGGGTGATCATATGGATCGACGCGGCTGTCTCCTCAATAGTAAGGAGATAAAAAAGAAAAAAAAATAATAAGATGTGAAGCCGGGCTCCACTACGACAGGATACATTATGGAGAATGACCTCATGCCGAATCGTCAATGAACGGCAGCGGGTAAACTTGAACATTGGGGTCTTAATAGAAGATGTTGAGGCCATCCCGTTCGTGCGAGGGTGAGAAGGGAGACAATCCGGTTATTTGCCGAAGCATCCCACGCGTGGCTACGCCCCGAATAGGCGTAACCCCTGTTGATCCGGGAGTGAAATTGAAAAAAAGACGAGCCTGGACAAGCCAGAGAAGTAGAATGGTAGAGTGGTAGATTGGTTGAGTGGTGGTGGCGGCTTGCCTTACCTTTTACATAGTAGTTGTACGCGGCGAACAGCTGGTATGATGATGATATATGGTCGATTGATATCAACTGCATGGATACGACAGCGCGCATACATGCCGGAAATGTAAGGTGTATGAATGTACATGCATGGGGTTTTAGAGCAGACGTAGACTATCGAGTAACGAGTAATACGTATTCGTGTATCACATCTCCTGACGCATCTCGAGTCCTTTCTAGATCTTCACGAGAAAAGATATGATATGTTGGTGACGTGAATAGACAATTTCTATTTATTGAAGAGGATTGACGGCTACCTAAGCCTGTTGGTGGTTGCGTAGTATCTGGGACTGCATCCTTCAGTCGGGTTGAGCTGTAAACATTGTTGACCCCTTTCTTTACACATAAGTACCTCTCGAGCCCTATTGCTATTTTTACCTACACTCATACGAGTTATTGTACTTGACTTGTTTCTAATTATCGAGCTAGGTTTGGTACTTTGGAAATTGTATAGGGTTATTATACCTGGGACCTACATATGCATGTAGGTCCTCGACTACATACGCACTTACAAACTACCTGTACATGTATATACTTCGGTCCTAATAACTCGATGGATGTCCATTAATCTGCTCTTATCAAACAATTTTTCTTCCCTCCTACTCAATCTTAATCATGAACTCCTCGGCCCTTCTTGACTATTTCTCGTCCTATATGCATAGTACATGCACACCTGCATTGGCTTTTATAACCCCGGTCGTTAGGAAAGAAACTAGAAGATAGAATCGACATCGTATCGACATTATGGATTTCCAATGCCAACTGCTTTAGCCAAAGCTGGCAAAGCTGGCAAAGCTGGTATTACATATCTGAGGCGCGCTACTACAGCGTTAGAAACTGGAAAGTCACAGTCGCCTTTTTGCACGGACGCGTCGTCGAGCTAGGTTATTGGATGGTGTGAGTGGATGCTCTGGGTCTCACCGAGCTTCCTTTCCGGTCTATTGACGCCGTCGAGTTCTCGAAAAAGGGACTCCTTGTTTGAAGGCGACTTATGATAGTTACGACGTACCTGCCTATCAAAGACGCAAATATCGGGCTAATTCAGAAATAAGTTGATCGCTTTATAGGGGCATATCTTCCACCTCGCCTTTTCCAGCTTTTTCCTGATACCGGCATCGGTCTTGCTTCTATTTTGCTTCGTCAATCATATCCACGGATGTATGTGCCTATCATGTCAGACTTGGTAAGCATGCATGTGGTTATTAGAGTCTGTTCCAAGGATCGATCTATCGCTCTGCATGGCCAACAATACAAACAGCTATGTATGTGCCAACCAGCTAGCCAGCTAGCCAGCCAGCCAGCCAGCAAGCCCAATGTCCTTTTTAAGTAGTAGAGAAAATGTATGAATACTTTTATAATGTATGTAAGGTAGTTTGAAGGTATCATTGAACCACAAGAATGTACGGGTACCTACATCTTGGTTGTAGCATTGATACAGTTTATAGCGCATCAAGTTGTTACTGTCAAAATTTTTTGTCTTTAGTTTCTTTACTTTTTTTATGCTTTGCTATTTTGCTATTTTGCTGTTTTGCTAGCAGCTGACTGATTGACTTTATCTGGCTTAAAGATTAGGTACATATGCAGAACATCACTAGGTAGAAGCCATCAGGGGCTTAGGTAGGGTTTAGCTACTTACTTGTAGGTACCTAACTCGATAAGACGACGGAATAAAGTGCGTTACCTTCTCTGTAAGTAAGCCGACCAAGCTTGATCAGGTACCTTGCGTCTTACTCCACACAGTATACCATAAACTGTATAACATCTTTTTTTTTCAATCTTTTCTGCTTCAATACAAAATATTGTTCAGTACGTACCTACGGTAACATTCGTCGACACTACACGACGGACCGCCAAAGCAGCCTCAAGGCTCCATCAGGATCCAGTTTCTCCAATCTTTTCCCAATTCCCCTTGTTCCTGTATACCCTGTATACCCTGTATACCTGTCGAATTTCTTCAGACTGGCAGACTGGGCAAGCTTTTTGCAGGACCGGACACTAGGACAAAAGGAGCAACGAGTGGCCTCTTTACGGAGAAAACGCAACAAATGCGCCGACGACTTGAGCTAACTGGAATCTCGGCCCAGGGTCGCGTCGAAACCGTCGAAACACCTCGAACATCGCACCACCACTTGCAGCACAACACTCAGCCGTTCCTACACTAGCATCTGCTTGATGCTGGTTACTGCTTCTACACTCTGATGTATCTACGTCTGTACGCCTGTACGCATCTATGTTAGGTATGCATATTGTCTATTCGTGTGCTGAACGCTGAACCCCCACTCCCCCTTCTCTGGGATCTGATCCCCTTGTTCCTCTCGTCTCGGCTACGCATAGTCACGTACGTACATACACTACATACCTACACTACATACGCTACATACATCCATACATCCATACATCCATACATCCATACTTCTATACATCTATACATCCCATATATACATAAAATACGTACGTAGTAGGTACATCCTACCACACCATATACTTACATACAGATATACAGAAACTGGCAGACGAGACAGTACACAGCAGCTAAAGCTCTCTGGCTGGGCCACGCCCACCGTTTGAGGCGCTGGAACCAGACCAGATAGGTCCCGTCCCCGTCTCCGTCCACGTCCACGAACCACGACCCCCGTCCCCTGCCAGCCCTAGGTCGGGTTTCGTGACTTGGCCCCCCCTTACGCAGCACCTTGGAATCGGCGTGCCCCTGCTCAGATCGCGCCCCCATAAAAAATTGCAAATTAAAATCAAATCAAATGGCAGAGGCACAACAGGAACAGCCACAGGCTCATCAACCTCAGCCTGAACCCGTCTTTGCCGCCGCTGAAGAACTAGCCCATGCCCTCCCACATCAATCGCGGGCCAAGTCTCCATTATCACAAGCTACGCAAGAGCAGGAAAATATCCAAGGGGCGCAGGGGCAGGTACAGGTACGGGTAGAGGCACAACCACCGGCACAACAGGCACAGGCACAGGCACAGGCGCAGGTACAGGCAGAGCCAGATGCCCACGATTTCGATCAAGCACACGCACGCGCACGCGCACCAACTTCAAACTTAGATTCCCCAAATAATGCAACGACGACAGTAGCCGCCGCCCACGCGCAGGAGCAGGAGTGGGCACAAGAAAAGGATCGGGAAAAGGAACAAGAACGGGACCAGGGTTACCAGCTTCTTTCGGACCACTCTACCACCGACGGTTTTAGACCAACCTCGACACCAACCTCGACATCTACGCCGGCGACAGCCTCACCCGCAGCTGATCCCGTCGCGACTACCCTCGCTGCTGACCAAGCTACTCTATCTTCGGCGACGGTCGCCACCAACGGCGCTCTGCCTGACCAGCAAGAGCAGAAGCAGAAGCAGAAGCAGCAGCATCAACAGCAGCAAGAAGCTGTTGCGCCGTCACCGGAAGTCATGTCGAACAACCCACCTCACCATACTCAGGGCCCACCTCGACAGCCCGCTAGCTACCCGAATCCTACGGCATATGCGACGTCCGCGATGGCGACTACGCACTACGGATATGCAAACCCGGCGGGTCAAGGACCGGACGCGTACCGGGCGAGCGTGGGCGTTCCTAGCAATGCTATGGCGTTGCCAAGCATGCGCACGTTCGACCCAGCTCAGCAGCAAGCTCAGCAGCAGCAGCACATGGCGATGGCGATGCCTGTAAACCCCGTCCCGTCGGTTCCCTCGATGCCGGCTCAGCAGCACATGTCCTACTTCGCACAGCAACCCGTACCTATGAATGCGAATAACCCGTACGCCCTAACCCCCGACGCTCTAAGACCGCAATATGCTCTACCTCCAAGCGGACCAGGTAGCGTGCTAAGCGGTCGACATAAGAAGGTAATTGGAATAATGCTGTCCCCTAGGATTATTCTCGTTTAATCGGCAACTGACCTGGTAATGTTTGCTTGCCATCGTAGGAAATAAAACGTCGAACAAAAACAGGTTGTCTGACGTGCCGAAAAAGGCGTATAAAGGTATGTGTCTATCATGTTGAGTGTGCTTCCTTATTGCTTTTTTGCTTTTTTGCTTTCTTCTGCCCTTTCTTTTCCTTGGATGCGCACGAGGGAGTTTACTTGATATAACGAGGAAGGAAAGACGAAGGCATATAATTGACCATGGAGGAATGATACAATCAGAATGGGGAAATAGGTGAAGATGAATGAGTTAGAGATGCTTGAGGAATTTTGGTCAATTATCAATGGGTCACCTTTCACACACATTTTGGATCGGGGTTTCGCTTAAGAGTAAAAGGAGCTACGGACAAGCGAGCGAAGCAAAAGCGAGCAAGCGCAAGCAAGCAAAGCAAAGCATCACGCCGGCTCCGAACAACCGAGCAACCTAAACAAACAGGTCCAGACGAACAAGAAAAAAAACTCGGGGTCCAAATTTTTATTTTTTATTTTTTTTATTATTTTTTTTTGACATCTGTCAATCGTCGGGAGCTACTCTCGGAACTCCAAAAAAGCAAAAGCTTCCCCCCTCCCCTCCTTTAAAGTTTTAGATGGTCGATCCCCTAACCCCAAAACTCCAAAGAGCTCTAGGGTAGCTCACTTTTATTTTCCCCACCTTTGGTCTATCACTACTTGTACTTCACTTGTACTTCCCTACAACATCTTTCTACGTCGTCTGTACACCTGCCCATTGAGCATACGATTATTTGTCTGCTTCTTGTTAGCGTATTCTATTATACGTTCAACTAGTTTCCCTTTTATTTTTCGTCTTGCGCATTCAAACGATATTCTTCGCTACAACTAAGTTCGGTTGCTAAATCCAAATTCTACAGTGCGACGAACAACATCCCATCTGCAAGAACTGTCAGAAATCCAAACGCGAATGCCTGGGCTACGATCCCATATTTAAGAATCAACAACAGCAACATCATACCAATATTCGACCAGCTCCCAATAATTCGTCGGCCTCCTCTTCCGTACCGTCGAGTCGACCTCCTGCCTCTTCTACGCCCGCGTCTGGCGGTGCGCAAACCCAGACTTCTTATACTGCTACCCTCCCCCCGGTAATATCTAATACCACTCCTACTACCGCAACATTCACCGGAAACCTGACAGCCGCGGGAACAGCTGCGTCATCGGTCAAGGGCGAGCCCGCTCTCGAATACCCGGCCGCTATCGATCCTACTTTAGACACCGTATTGTCCACCACGAGTACGTCGCCTTCTCATTTCCAAGCCATCACACCCATTACCCCAATTCCTCCTCACAATCCGTTCGGCACATCCCGCCTCAGAGGTGGCCCTCCGTTTTTTCCCTTCTATCGCTCTGCTTCGCATTCTGTGGTCTCTCCCTTTCGGCAACAGACTTCGGCTTACTCTGGTTTTCAGCAAGGAAGATGAAAGTTCACGAGCTCGTGAGCATGACCGGCACCGTGCCCCCGACCCTCGACTCGCCCCTCACCGGCGACAAGCTGGCAGACGTGAGGGATCTATACGATCAGGTCTACGCCCCCGGCCTGGAGAAGTTTTTCGAGACGGAATGGTACACCAAGCCTCAAGGTGTCGGTGCGTTGATGTCCAGCACGGCCGTCAACGAGATGCTGGCAGGGTTTTTGCAGTCGATGGCTAAGACGGATGCTAATGACGTCGCCGGGATGCAATATTCGGCGAACCTCGAATTCCGAGTGGTCTGGGATCTGACCACGTTAGTATACGCGTCCGAGTACAAGATTAATGTTGGGGAACATCTACCACCTTCCGACGACGGGTCCGAAGCGCGAAATCGAGTGGCGGTCTTCGAGGCCCTGTTATCAGGCGATCACCTCGATCAGAATCCTCTTCATCCGCCCCCCGCGAACGCCGATATACGACTTCACCGGATCAGGGAGTTTAAGTTTTGGTATTTCCTTGCCGAATTTCTTCGCGTGAGAGATCAGCCGGGCGTGGATACTATGCGCCAGCGCGACTATATTCTCGGGCAGCTGCGCGAGCTGCTAGATGGGCGTGAAAATCGAGACGTCCTTTACTCTCTCGCCGTCATCCGGGCGCTAGCGCCAAACTTCCCTCCGGATTTCGAAAGCACCTTGCCTCCGCATCTTGACGAGACCGATCCCAAAAGTAAGTTGGCCGTCGCTCGCAAGTTCGTCCAGGACGAGTCTCAAGTAACGGGGGGCACTACCAATGTCGTACGCCGCTTCTCCGAACTTGCGGTTAGGGCTTTTATCGCCCCCGGTAGCAATATCACGCGGAGATAACTACGCTACGCAGTTCTCCATACTACTACTACTACTACTACTACTACTACTATAACGATGTATTAATACGCACGCGAGGGATAGCAGCTTTTGTTTTATGTAGCATTCGAAAGCGTGGAGTGTTTAGATGGTAGTGTTTCCTCTTCGTTCTATGTCCCATCTCCTCGATGATCTGCCATTTCCTATCCTCGCCTGTACTACTTTTTTGGGATGCGTTACGGGTGACGGCGAAATGACCCAGTCGAGGAATTATAGCGACTAGAACAGAATAAGGGGTGGGGTTTTAATCGGCGTTGCGGCATTCTACGAAGCACCCCGAAAATGAGACTACGTTTACGTCTTCTATTAGTCACCGAGTACGTGTACGAATAAGTGTTGAAAAGTGTTGAAAAGTGTTGGCGACAAAAAGCGACGGTAGGATACAGGGCATTTTTTTTCGTTTTCTGTTTCTCTTCGATAAGATGAGGTAGCGCAGAGTTTTGATGTCCATGGAGGGTCCTTGTTGATAGCGTAGGGACGACAGATGGTGTGTTCCTAGGTATGAGATTCGGAACAGACTTCTAGATGTACGAGGAAGATGTGTCCTCGTATGTTGGGCTTCGCATCCCTCTGCGGATCGAGCTCGGCCAGACGGGCAGCTATAGAGCTTTCGACTAATGCGGCATCATAGAATTACACGGTAGATAAAAAGAGATGGATTTTATACAGTAGTTGCGGCGTGTAGTATATAAGAATCGACGGAATGTATCGACGATATGCATTGCGAGTCTTGATATTTACCGATACGAATAGACTGTAGATTTAGTTTCGTGGTCGAGGTATGGCTTGAGGTTATGATGCTGCTATCATTATTGCGCATAGCTTGAGACAATCAATAATATCTCTCCCGTCTAACCTATCATTTTTGTACTTTCCATGTTATCTCGAGAATAGCAAGGCTAGACACCTGGGGTTGCTACATGCCTTTAAGCACGAACCTCGAATCAGCCTGTTCAAACAAAGATTTCCACTCGTCGAGGTCGCGCTCTTTCGCACTGCCAATTTTAAGCATCGTTAGGTCCATAGCTCTACGAGAATTGTTAACACCATTGAGATGATCAAGTTTCCAGATACTAACCTCAGCTTTCGTTCAACGCTGTTTGGTAAGACACGGCGGAGGCATCACAAAGTCTATAATAAGAACCCGCGAGCCCGGATTCGAAGCTGGGATCAAGGCCTCGAGAATTTTGATACAGTATTTGTCCGGCCAGTTATGAAGGATCCAATAGTATAAGCATCGGCGTTGTTGATCGGCTGTTCTTCAAAGAAATCATGTGTCATGAATCGGACGTTTAGTCTCTCTATCGCTTTAGAGCTTGCAACTACTTCGGGAAGCTCCTGAACTATCAAGTTGAGGTTAGGATATTTACGTGTTAAAGCAAATGCCGCATCGCCGTGAGACCCGCCGACATCTACGACGGTTCCGGAACCCAGCGAGTTCCAAGCAAAGTTGTCTGTTAAATGATGTACGGAATACCTAGGGCCTGTCGTGAAGAAGCTCATAGCTCCACCGAAACGGCGCGCTCGTTCGGGATTATTGGAAAGCTCAGCATAGAATCGTTGGTCTCGTTAGCTAGCGATAATCCCTATGAGCTAGCTGTAAGTAGATTATAGTCATAACTGCCTGCAGAGATCTATCCGCTTACAGTCTGAGTCGGTTCATCGGCAAGGAGCCATCTAGCCAGCGAATCGACAACCTTTTGCGCCGATGGCCACATATCATCTACATTAGCGCCAACCCAGTCTACAATACCCGAGTCCTCTGCGATATGCCTAGAGGCTGCAGAGTGCGAAATGACACCGGGTCGAGGCTCTAAAGATGCGGTTTGCAATACCGAAAGGTAAGATACGAGTAGTTGCAGTACAGTCGAGGCCAATAGTAGCTGCTAGGTCCTCGTATGTGGTCTCTCCGTTCATGGGTATCTTATTGGGGATATCGAATCGATAGACCCTTTTCGGCGATGTAGCTACCAATTCGACGAGTATGAGTCGCCACTGCAGCTGCTAGCTCGGCTATCTTGCTCTGAGATGAGGCCATTGTTTAGAGTGGCTTCAAGTGAGGAGATTGATAGGATAAGGGGTAATGAATAATTCGTTCATAGCTAAGGGCGTAGAGACATGAACAAAGAAATCTCTACGAAAGAAAAATAAGAGAGCACTAACTCAGCTATCTAGAAGATGACAGCGACAATATCAGGGATACTCACTTAAGAAGGCCATATAGCTGCCTATCCCATCTTGGCTGTAGACTCGGTTGTGAAGCATATTATATCGTTTCTGTACTCCGAGCAAATCACAAATACCACTGTGGATTACGTTTAGACAGAAATGCGCAGTGGCTGCTTCTATTTTCTATCCAGATCCGGTTGACGGATATTGCTCAGCTTTCTCTAGCTGCATGAACCTCGACTAGTTCCTCAGTCTTTGAAATCTCAAAACGCCATGAGGGGAATCATGTTATAGATAAAAATGCCAACGCCGTTTTTGTTGAAAAAAATGACCTGCCGGCACTCCTGGCCCTTTTTGATTCCTCATGCCCTATTTCCCCAATGCCAGTTGATGCGTAGACTCATGCTTGTTGAAACACAGACCAACCCCTACTTAATCGAGGGGGTTAAGCGAGCTATATATGAACTCGACTGTAGATGCACAATGTTGACGATCGTGCACATTAGTAATTGATGTACGAGGTTGAAATTAGTATCGGTAGCTACGAAATCTTATTAGCAAGGCAAGTAAGGAAACGTGCGGGAGGAGAGGGAAACGTACAGGTCGCTCTTGAAGGGACCCTCAAGTTCTAATCCGAGGTATTCGCCTTGCACCTTGGTAAGGGTGGTGAGTTCGGCGTTGACGTGGCTAAGATGAAGTCTGGCGACCTCCTCGTCTAGGACCTTGGGCAGCACGTAGACGCCGACGGGAAGCTTCTCCGTCTTGGCGAAAGCGGCGTACTTCTGGCCGAAAGCCTTGTCTTGAGCCTTGAACAGCATGATCTGCGCTAGAACCTGGTTGCTGAAGGAGCAAGACATGACGAAGGAGGAGTGACCGGTGGCACAGCCGAGGTTGACCAATCGGCCCTCAGCTAAGAGGATGATGTGTCGGCCGCTGGCCATGACGAAACGGTCTACCTGAGGCTTGATGTTCTGGACGCTCTTCGCGTTCTTCTTCAACCAGGCGACGTCGATCTCAATATCGAAGTGGCCAATGTCTATAAAACGGTTAGCTACTGCGTCGGTAAAGCTATTAGCACGGCGTATACGTACTGCAAACAATTGCGTCGTTGGGCATGGCCTCGAAGTGAGATCCGACAAGGATATCTCGGCAGCCGGTAGTGGTGACAAAGATCTGTCCGATGGGAGCAGCCTTCTCCATGGTGGTAACCTGGAAGCCGGCCATGGCAGCCTGGAGGGCGTTGATGGGGTCGACTTCGGTAACGAGGACGCGGGCACCCATTCCGTGAAGAGCCATGGCACAACCCTTGCCGACGTCACCGAAACCAGCAACGACAGCAATCTTACCGGCAATCATGACATCTGTGGCGCGCTTGATACCGTCGATCAGAGACTCGCGGCAGCCGTAGAGGTTGTCAAACTTGCTCTTGGTGACGCTGTCGTTGACGTTGATGGCGGGGACGAGGAGGGTGTTGTTCTTTAGCATTCGGTATAAGTGGTGGACACCAGTGGTAGTCTCCTCTGAAACACCGAAGCAGTCCTTCAGCATGTCGGGGTACTTGTCGTGGACGAGGTGAGTCAAGTCACCACCGTCGTCTAGGATTAGGTTAAGCTTCTTGCCGTCCTTGAAAGCTGTGAGCTGCTGTTCCAAGCACCAGTTGTACTCCTCCTCGGTCTCACCCTTCCAGGCGAAGACGGGGACACCGGCAGCAGCGATGGCGGCGGCGGCGTGGTCCTGTGTGGAGAAGATGTTGCAAGATGTCCAGGTAACCTCGGCACCGAGAGACGTTAAGGTCTCGATCAGGACGGCGGTCTGGATGGTCATATGTAGACAACCGGCGATGCGGGCACCGGCGAGAGGTTGGTCGGCGGCATACTTCTTTCGGATAGCCATCAGACCGGGCATCTCGTTCTCCGCGAGCTCGATCTCTTTGCGGCCAAAGGCGGCAAGAGAGAGGTCTGCGACCTTGAACTTGCTAGCGGGAGCAGCCATCTCTAAGTGGTTGTTAGCGGCACTGCTACGGTACTATTATAGAGGTAGAAGGACGTACTGAGATAACTGATATGTGTGAGGGGCGGTGAAGGAGGATGAGCAAGCGGGAAGAACGGATGTTCTACGTAAGACAAAGATTAGCAAATAAAACTCGAAGTAGGTAGCCGTAAGTAACCAGATGTGTATGACTTTGGTGTTATGACTATTATGACTTACAGATGATGCCCGAGGGAAAGTGAGACAAATTGGAATGGTAAGGGAAAGGGAAAGATGAGGAGAAGAAGGGAAAGAAATGAACGGAGGAGAAAGATACCCTAAAATACCTAAAATACTGCAAAGTACTACAAAGTACCTAAGGTAAGCTAAAGTACCTAAGCTGGTAAAAGCTGGTGGTAGGTTAAAGCCTTAAGGTAGCTTATTAGAGCCCTAGAAAATAATATAGATAGAAAGTATGTACCTATTGTGGTAAGATTAGGTAGATTAGGTACGGATCTAATATAGGAAGAAAGGATGGTAGACTAAGTATTTTGGATTTTTTCTCTATCAGCTACGAGTTCTGCAAGTCTACCCCTCCAGCCCCTCTTTCTAAAAGTCTACTGGGAAACGATAGATGGATTGTGGAAGATTGAGTGGTTGACGCTGATTGCTTACACTAACGCTAAACTAATATTGGACTAGAGGATTTGGTCCCTGAAAAAATGCCCCTCATCCCGCCTCATCCATCCATTCGGCAAATCTTTTTGCGTGTGTTGTTGGAATCTTAGTAACTCCGTGAAGTACGTATCACCTCATTTCTCTCTTCTAATAGGTCCATGTGTCTCGAATACATCCACATCTTCCGCATTTTCTACTCGTAGTGCTTAGCTAACTCCTGACAACGGAATTCGACCCTCAAGGTAGAATCCCACGCAGGATTGAAAGAGTAAGACCTATTAGATTGGTGGCGTCGCTTTACTTTCTATTACCCGTTTATATCTGTATCTTCAGATAACTACGGTGAGCACGGTTTATAGAGGTATTATAATTGCAATTGAAATTGATAACTGACGGAGAATCGAGATACAATTATATGTGTGCTGTACGAATTTTTACTTATATATCTAAGTAGGTACTGTATCTCCTAACATGAGATATACGTGTAGACTGACTATATGAGGATATAAAACCTCGGCCGTGAAAATGTCGGCCGTAAAAGATCGGAAGTATTGTTCCTAAAATCCAAATCCCCGGCCATGGCTGTTCGGGTTGCTTCAGCAAAGGCATATCAATGCTTACGCTAGCATCCTACGAACACTCTGGACATGGCCCTAGACAGGGCAGACATTATGCCTTCCTTGACTTCAGCCTTCAGCTTCATGTGCTTAAATTCCTATGCTACGTATAAGCTCCGCCCCGCTGCAAGTCAAACAGAGATTTAGAATGACTCGATGGACTCAGCTCTACGGACCCGAAGTAGAAACCCTGAAACGCCTCCGGACGCCGGGCCACATGCATCTATATCAATTACCCCCTTTTCCCCTCTTTATAACCCTTATTCGGGAAGAAGATTACCCCTAACGGCGAACATCTTCGCGCTGACATTGGCTGTGAACCCGTCTATTTGCTTGCTGTACTGCTCGACCTGTTTCGCATTCAGCATGCCTTCCAATCGGCTAGGTTCCTGAGGAAGCTTGAAGATTCGTTGCCATTCATCTTCCGGAAGAGGCTGTTGCTTAGCCGCAACACGCCCCGCGTTCTCCGCCTTTCGCTTCGTCTGCCACGCCGTAATCTTAGTCTGCTCGCGGGCAAGCTGCCTCTGGTAGTACTGGTGGTTGTTTAGCTCGGTGTAATGAGACTCGATACTATCGAGTAGAAGATCACACGTCTTCTCTAGGAAAGGATCTATCGAGAGGTCGAGAATGTCGACCGACGGATGAAGCGGCATCTTGATAGGTTCGCCTTGCAGATCGGAAAGAGATGTTGGCATCGTCACGTCCGTCTCCAAAGCGGCAGAGGGTAGCTGGTGGAGGTAGGAAGTTAGGAGATGCGAGTTGTGGACGTGGATAGGGAATTCGACGAGGATATCCTTGAATGAGAGTTTCGACTTTTGTAAACTATCCCGTGTGTCAGCATATAGTCCCTTACTTAGCGGCCGTTATGTTCTGACCTGTCAGTTGTGAATTTCCCCTCCTTGAATGCCGTCATGAAGTTCTGCGTCAGTTTGAATGCGCGAAGGCTTAGCGCACCCTGCGAACTGCGGCTGACATCGTGAACTAGGGCTACGGTCCGTTCGTTCTCTCGCTGATAATGGTACTGGTTCTCGATAAAGCTAGAGTTGACGAAGTTACCCATCGTAGCGCTCGTATACCAGCCCACGTTGTTGGCGTCGACGTTGACCTCTTTGAGATGTCGGATCATGTCGTTCTGGTAGATGATATTTGCTTTGGCGCGCGGTGCGGCAGCGGCAAGTGCAGACGCGTCGTTCTGGTGGCCGCCCTCGACGTTCGTTACGTCGACCGTAGGGAAGGGGAAAGTGTTTGTGATTCCGAGGATACCATCTTTGTCCATACCAACGATGGAACCCGTAGCAGTCGAAGGGAAGCTGTTTGAGCAGTGCTTAACTATTTTCATAACGACCTACATACGATATAGCAGTTAGCGGTTAGCGACTTGATCGTAGGCTGATTCGAGGTGGCATAGGTAGAAACCGTAAATACTAACCAGAGCCTCAACCTGAACCGTCTTAAACGGCGTATCCTTTAGAGAGTCGGCCATGATCGCGAACTACTTCTTATGCCGAATGTATGGGAGGGATTCGATTCGGATTTAGTTGTTGCGGGTGACGAAGTTGCGAATCTGGTTAAGATTTTGAGGTTTTAGTGGGATGCGATTCTTGTGGGTTACAAAATGGGAAAATTGCCTGCCAGCTGAGGGGCACCTGTAGTAGGTCTGTAGTACAGGAAACGGCATAACATTAAGCCTTTTTTTTTTTCACTTCTTTCTCAGGTACCTTAGGTAATCAGACATATAGGTACCCCGCAGCTCCCGGTATCTTGATTAACCTACATAGGGCAGGTACTAAGAAAACACTCAAATAACGTAAAGAATCAATTCAGATATGCAATTAAAAGCTCTAACCCCTGTTCAAAGGAAACACGCTGGCGTTGGCATCAATGCTCAGTTGCTGATGAAGTAACAAACATCCCACTCTGGAACCCCCACGCCATGTTGTCATTTTCCATGTCGACATTCCACAAAAAACATATTTAAAGAGCCTCAAAGCAACGTCGTCTCCTTCCAAGATTTATACTCTTTTGCCATATGCTAGTGGTGTTTTATCCATATACGATGAATATACGATAAGTATATACGATGAGGGTTGTCAAAATACTCCTATAACCCAAGTGGATTATCCATCACCACCCCAATCATAAAGATACAAGAACAGAAGGACATACATACACTAGGATCTAACTAGCCGGGGCAGAAATCATGTTAGCTCTCCTTTATCGCCACCGGAAGAGACTCAATGCTGGTTTTCGTCGTGGGTCAAGCCTCGATTAGGAGAGGGAAGATATACTTCCGATGTACGGAAACGCATATCTATTTTTTTCTTTTCTCTTGGTCCTATCTAGACGCCTTACACCGATGGATCTATCATCTATTGCCGTCTTACACGACAGCCGATAACCGATATCTAGCTGGAAAATCACAAGCAAAAACAAAAAGCAAAAGCTGTCGAGGGTCCGTCAGCCGCGGACCGCTCCCATTCGCCAAACACGGGCACCTCTCAGGCACCTCTCAGGCATATGAGGACCAACATTAGGGACCAACATGCCGGGCGATCACCGTGCAGTCTAGTGTAACCCTACGTCCCTCATTCCCAGTCAATAAGCTCCCAGCTTTTCACGTCATCTCGGATGATAAGCCTATGCCGGTCAATCTTCCAATGCGAGTACAACGACCTGGTGGCCGCCGCTGCTTTTCGATGTCCACGTCCGACTCCTCCCTTGACTGCTTCTTCCTGCGACCTCCACACGCACGTCGCAAGGTTTCTGCCGTCCTTATCAGGATGTCCGAACCAATATCTGGAGCTTGTTAGCGCGCGTCTTCCGTCATCCTTGCCGGGACCGACACCTACTTGAGAAAGCCACCGCTGGCTATCGCCTCGGCGTGCGCTACCTTATCTAAGGCGCCTAGATCCTCGTACACAGTTGTCGGCGGAATCTGCGACCGGAAAGCTACTATGAAGAAGGAAGTTTCCTTCCACCTGTGGCTACGTTCTCGCACGAGTCGCGTTAATTCCTCGATGATTTCGTTCCAGTTAAAGGTTTCGGTATAAGGAGCGGTGGCATAGTCTGGCCGCAGGTTCCTCATACGAACTAGCGCTTGAGCGAGTAATGCATTCTCCTCGTCGAGGGTTCTCAAGTCGAGCAAGTGCTCCTTTTCGGTATATGGCGACTGGACTAGGAAGTGCCCGTCGCGTATGGGTCCATCGACGCTATCGCTTAGAGGTATCGCAATCTCCTGCGTCGAAACCTCCAGCGATTCCTTCCCTCGAGGAATGTCGGAGGGTATCTCCGCGAGGTGTGGTAATACTTTATCTACGGCCATACTAGGGGTGTTGACGAAATAGTTTCTAAAATACTAGGTCGGCTAAGGGGATAGAGAAGGCAGAGAGGGTAGAGAGGATGATAAAATCGGGTCTAGAGGTATAGTGTTTCTTAAAAAGCGTCGAAGAGATATGGTGGATGCAAAGTAGGGCCCCAGGCGGTTTTTATCTTAGGGGACCTCTTGGGATTTCAAGGTGATGTAAAGGTGGCTGTCAAGAAGCATGACTATCAGGCTCAAATGGACGGGTGAGTTTATCACAGTCACATCGACAAGGCAAAGCAAGAAGATCTCCCCAAGTTACCATCGACCAGCGGTATGGCGAGCGGATCCAGCTGCATGATAATGCGTATTTCTTCTTTGTGTGAGTTGGGTAAAAATTTCTGGGGCGTTTTCCACCGCGGAACTGATCGCGCCATCCCGCAAACCATTGATACCATCGACCACAACATTTAGCCAGGTAAGACAATCCCAGTACTAAATTATGCTAGGATTACGAATGTCGAACTAAATAGTAAAAGATGACATATAAAACCACTCACTTTTCGCTTCTTCCCGTTTCCAACTTTTGACCCTTGAGACCTAGAAACTACCTAAGGTGACAATGAAAAACTATGCGACTCTACAGACCCTAGGATCCCTGGAATCCCTAGGATTATGAGCCCAGCATCTAATCAATCAAGTCGACAATCAATCTGATGTATCATGCAGCCCGCTTGAGAGAACAGGTCAAGCATGTAACCGCAGCACGACCCACCAATGCGGCCTCGATCTTGATAGACAACGTGTTTGATAGGGCTAATACATTGCGATATGCCTGTCTACGTATCTAACTAGATACCTTAGATACCTAGATGCTAGGTTTATATACCAGGTACAGGCACCCTATCTAGGCTAGGTATCCATGCTTAGATCATCGTGACGGAATTGACGAATCGGAGTCGATCGGGTTCGTTCTTCACGCTTCTCGGCTGTTACATGAAGATAGGAATAGAATGATACGATGATATCAACCGACCATCTATCTCATCGCAAAGTTTCACGACTATAATGACTGAATTGTGCGTTGGCGAACCTTCATTTTTTTTTATCATTTTTGCAACCCTCCAATCTCGACATGTTACGCCTTTCAAAAGCGAGTTTGGCTGCCGTCATCCCCGAAGTCTACCTTGCTCGTATACAATATCCAACCAATTCGATTATCATCCCGTTCCGCCGGATTACAGCGTTGCGCACATAGTCGATAGGTCCTAGATAATGCGAAGCGTCAACCAAAGAAGGAAGATCGTCACGGCGGATAATAGCCACTAATACCTAGGTACCTAACCTAGGTAAGTATAATATTGGTAGGTTATAATGGTATAATAGCATAACAGTAGGTATAACAGGTATAACACTAAGCCTTGACGGATTATCTCCGAGACCTCTGATACCTAATCTGAAAGGGTCCAAATGCCAAGAATCCCCGTCACAGGGAATACGGCGCCGATGCCGATGCCGGTAACAAGTCTCGGAGCGTCCTAGATTCTCGAACCCCCCCTTGCAGATGTAACTTTATTCAATCCGCCTGAATTGCCCTTGCGAATCAAAAAAATGCGATACTCGCTTCGCGGCTGATCCAGGTCGTTGGAGTCGACATACCCTCGAAAACGACAAGGCAATATTAACCCATGTTCGATAAGTTGCCGAGCAAAAGACGAGATCTACTATAATGATTACCGAATGCCCCACGGGATCATCTCAGAATAGCGACAATGCTGTTCAAAAAGGAGAAGCTATCTACAACCTAGTGGCTCCTAACCCGACTCGGCCGGCGGATTTAATAAGGAAAATATTTCACCGCATAAGTATCAGCCTTGACTCGTCACGTACTAATAATTTTGTCGTAGATCTAAGCTTAAAATATTCGAACGATATGTTCCGTCTTACATTTTAGCTCGATCTTCAGGAGCGCAGTTGTTTCTTATAAACGAAGGTCTTGTACGGATGATATTCTCTCTACTATCTATTTCAAGCTCAATATCAAATAGGTTTATATATCTTGAACCGGGTAGATGAGGGAGCCAGGTGGTCCTCGTGACGCGTAAGACTAACGGGCTCTTGGTTCTAACTACCAACTCGTCCTTAATGTATACTATTACCGGAAAGTTGCTGAATTTCATGGATCGTTTTGTCTAAGACCCATAGTTGATATCGATACCTTAGGGGAACTTGTAGAACATGGACGTTTGAAAGAGCCGTCTCTGAATATTAGATAGAATCAATTTGAGCTCTTGAATAATTCTATATCCAGGAAGTAGGACCCAAGACCAACCCAATGAACAATCGAAGGTAGATCGGACATGTTATCTTAGAGTCTTGAAACATGTAGCTTTTAAAATACTAATATCACGACCCAATTCGCTTTCTACGTACACCAGCACTCTATAATGTCAGCAATAAAGGATCCTGCTGTTCTCCTTAAAGTACGATTTATGTAATTCATGTTATAAACTTGTATCCGCGTCTGCTATCTTTCGGTGTAGACACTTTCATATTCTTAGATTTCAAAATCCCGCGCTTAATTTCCGCGTGTCTGTATAGCTGATAAGTATTGGCCAGCTCGAAATGCAGAAGGTTGAGGGACATTAGTCTGACACGCTTACCTTTGAGTATCATACACCGATGTTAAAGCGAAGATGTTGGGCTTTCCCGCATAGTTCCTCGGAGGTCCATTATTTAGGTACCGAGTTGACAACCAGTAATCTTAGAATGGGCCCATCATATCATGTTCTAGCCTTTTCCTTACACTTCACTGGACGAACCAATCGTATCGGTGATATTTAAAATGTGGCTAGTCGTGGATTTTGACGAAGTCCCTTTATCTCTGGGTTGCGGGGTTTAGAGAGAAGTGTGAGAGTTGTGTTGTCAAGAAATCGTCACGAGAGAGGCTCGGTGAAGAGGATCGTCGTTGAATTACCGATACAGTAGATTCTCTCCACCGTCATGGCACGTGGTTTTTTGCCCTATTTTTTATCTATCTCGGTTAGCTATCTGAACCATTCGCTATACTTAGATGATACCCCCTAGAATCCTTCTAGATGCTATGGATGTCTAGTAGGTATGCTTAGTGGTAGTTAGACTTATACGGTGAGAGCTAACCTCGAAGTCTTAAACTAGTATCCCGGGTTGGTTGTTGGATAAAACAAACTCGGCTCTCATCATAACGTATCAAATACATTTTAATGGTGGGTATTAGTAGGATCTTAACCCCACGGGGAAACCTCGAAGCCAATATAACTGGTCTATACTTGGCGTGAGTTATGTTATGTAGATTACGGAACTAATTAAGTGACGTAAATTGTCCTGTTAGGAATACTAAGATAGAGGTTATATCTTGCTATTTTTGAAACGACATAGCAAACAAGAGTTGTCTGGAGCGGTGGCGGCTTTTTTAGTGCCTCAACCATTGAATCTTTGAAGAAATTAGGTCGAGTTTAGTGATGCAAACATAATATTCCTATAGAAACGAAGATGAGAACCATCAGTCTAACGTAGGTATAACCACTATTTAAAATTACACCGAGTTAGGTCGAAGCTGTACAACGTAAGGCCATACGGCTCGGTCAAGTTTCTCCACGTCGGGACGAAAATAGCCATTATTCAAGACGAATAGTTTGCGTCGTATTAAGGCTAGTCATACTGTCATCATCATTCTTCAAAATCTCGTTGGGTACCACAGTCGATAGAAATCAACTCCACAGATACTCTTCTAGAATCCGCAGCCTTATCCTACGCTGAGGTCTCCATACATATCTTAGTACCTCATACAGTAGATCACATAGCACAAATCAAAGTCTCGCGAAACGTAGATCCACTTATCTTCATGAAATGTCCCGCGTTCATGTTTGCCTATACATGGGTCATACGGTTACAGGTCGGGACTACTTTGATGGACTATCATATGATGTCAATTTGCTGCCCTAATCACGTATTAAGACGTTACCTTCGAGGAGACTGGCTGATGAAATGGTATCGTAATTCTATATGAAGTGTAACTAAGGAGGCAGCATTCAAATATGTCAAACTAGTGTACCGTAGTACGGCTCTGGAGATAGTAGATGAAATGGGTTCGGTGGAGAATATAGCCCTAACCCTAACTATCATATCTATGTACCTCTTTCGTCTAGACCCGCGTGGATTCTGTATCTATCGCGAAGTTCTTCCCCAGATTTCCAAGAAGTGGGCGGGTTGCCCAGAAGCCCACATTGCACGGGTTTTGCTATGATTTGAAGCCTAATGAGGGGTCGAGATTTCGAAACGTATTTGTTATTAGTAAGAATATTGCGAATAGAAACAAGATAAGAAAAGCGGTAACGGTATGTCGGGTCTTAAACCTGCGGAGGTTGGTAGCAAACTACGAGAGAGAAGCTAAGGTATACTCGAACGAGTGATCATAATGGATACTCCTATAGTTAAGAGCCCCGGCCTTTCGGATCATCATCCTAGTCGTCTTTTTAGAACAGTATGGAAATATCCAATAACCTAGCCGCGAAGAGGAACCACGTGTGTCAACTCCGTAGCTTGGATTGTTAGGAGAGGATACGCTAAGGATAACATAGGGGCAATTATGGGTATCAGGTTCGTCGGTAAAGCTTATTCAAGAGACTCATCGAGAGGAAGGGATATTCCCGTTTTGTTATCTTGGATGTCCCGATATTGCCCATATGGATGTTGAGAGAAAGGAGTTCCTATGCCTGGTATATCCGTCGAGATGAATATATAAGAGTAGGGAACTCCCAATCTGACCTCTCGAGAATATTTTATCTTTAGGGACTCAAATCTAGGAACATTCCAACTTGCAGGTTTAACTATTATCATTCAAGAGAAAGCTCTTCAACATATTTCCAAGATGGCTTCACCAATAACTCTTCTATCCCTCTTCCTGCTCTCGTCTACATTCGCTTCTGCCCAACCCAGCTTTACCGCGTACAAAGAAAAGAGCTGCAGCCAGCCTCTTGAGATTTGGACCGATGGGATGCTTATCGAAAACAGCAAACTTCCCATAGATCATTCCATTAAAGAACGAGGGACTTACGACGGTGGTCACGCCTTCAATAATATAACGTTCCCAGCCGCGGCAGCAACCGGCGATTACGCACAGGATGCAGGGACTCAGTTCGTGTATTGGAAAGTAGAGCAGCCAGACCCGACCTGTCAGTTTATACTGATGAGGGATACTCCGAGGGAATGGCAATCTCTCAGTCAGTTGCCCGGAGATGAGATGCTAAGAGTAGCCGAAGAGGGCTGCTACTATACGGCTCTAAGTGTAAGTTTGGAGATTATAGCGTCCACCGAATCTAGTTATTAGGAAGTATTGTTAACGAAAAGAAGCCCAACGTCGACTTGATTACCAGCTTCTGCTGCGGCCGCGACGACTGCGCTATTGCGGAAATCGAAGTTCAGTATCCGAGCCCCGTCGAGAGCGTCAGTGGTGATCCTCCGAACTGTACGGTAAAGTCTTACAATGCTACGCCTACTATCGAAGATGGTCAACAAATAGCCGTCACCAGGCCACAGACCTGCGAGGCCCCGCCGACTTGCACGCATTCTATAACCCTGAGCAAGATGGTCAGCACGGCCGTGTCTCATTTCCAGTCGTATTCTTGGACTACTGAGGAAGGAGTTGATGTATGTTCACGAGATACTTATATCTAACCATCGATAGGATGTATTGATTTTGCTAACGCGAGCTTTCCCCTCTTAGGTCAAGATAGATACTGGTGTCGACTTTATCGTAGACTCAAAGGTGTCTGTGGGTATAAGTTTCAACATCGCGCAGAGCTGGATGGACGAGACTGGAACAACTCTAACGCAAACCAACATTACGGCTTCGTCTGAGGCGGGAAGGCAGGAGGCAGGAACTATAGCATTCTATGCCTTCACGCCGCAGTACGACTGCTGGAAAGGCGAAGTTAGCTGCGGGAAGGACAAAAGTGGAAATGAGGTCGTACTTGAGGGTATTAGTTTCTGCCAGCCTCGAATTGCAAGTACTGGCGATCCGGCTGGGCTTTTTAGGATGGTGTATACTTCGGGATGAGAGATGAGTTAGCTTCCGCCGAACGGATATGGCGTTTCTTAGATAGTTTTCTTTTACACTTTTGTTTTTTATTTTCGTCACATTGGTTTCTTACCAATTTTAACAACTTGGGATTTTAGCATTTTAGGATAGGATAGGACAGGGCAGCACAGGATTGGACAGGATAGGATATGATGGATAGATTTTGGTATTGGCCGCAAGGACTTATAGGTACTATAAATGCGGCCAGAGACGCGGGTTGGTACTCATTAAATAAAGGCGTCATCTTCGCTACTTTGCCCCTTTCTCCTCGAGAGCCAAACCTTTGCTACTTCGTATGTGCCTAAGTAAAGACCGCTACCGACAAGAGTCCATACAGCGCGAAGAGCCGAACCCCTGAACAACCCCGAGATACCCGTCTCCGAAACAACTTCGCGTGCTACGGCGAGTCCACCCCGTACCTTGTATTTGGTTACGCCTTGAGACGTATGCGTCCGGTCGTGAACACCCTGATCTACACCCTGGCTGCTCCCGGCTGCAAGCATCATCCGTGTCTTCACCACATCCATAGGAGTCGTGACGATAGCAGCCAAGCTACCCGCCAACCCAGCACTTGTCCCAGTGATAACGCCAGTCTCAAGTAGAGTTCGCTTCTCTCCCGCGCCGAACCCCGTGTTAGATTGGCCCGTACGAGATCGCTGGCTCCAGATCTTAGTACGCAGATATTCGAAGATGGGAAACTGGATAGCTGTAAAAGGTAGGTTTCGAGCTATTAGAACGGTGTATCCCGATAACAGCTTGCGCCCTACGCCCGTGCCGCTTACGGTCAGCTGCTTTAAGGCTTGAAGGGAAGCAGACCTGCGTGAGCTGCCGGACTTTTGCTGCAACATCTGGGCATTTTGCTTGATGACCTCGGAAGGAGTAAGGACCAGGCACGAAGCACATTCCCCTATGGCTGATGCGCCTGCATGCACTAAGGGTTGCGGAAGACCTAAGGGGGACCCGTGACGGTTGATGAACGACTTAGCCGCTTCGTAGGTAGTAAAAAATGTTCCCGCGGCAGGTAAAGTAGTAACTATGACTATTCCGATACCCTGGTATAAGCCCCTGAAGAGCTGCCGCGAGGGTAGTTTAGTCTTAGTAGACGGGTTGGCAAATGTCTTGACGAAATCTCGACTTTGCTGGCGGGTTTTCAAGGTATCTAACGGGTAGACAATCAAATCTACGACGAAAGCTGCCCCGCCGCCCGCCTAGAAATTATGGAAAAAATTGATTAGAATATTCCTTAGATTCTCGACGGTTTATAGCATAGAGTTGGAAAAGGGGATTTGGAAAATTTGCAATTTAAAAATAAGAGGGTAGACTTGTGGAAATGAGATAGACTTACCAGCATAACATCGAGATTTGAATTACCGCCCATCGCGGTAACTCCTTAGTAACTTGGCGAACTTGGAGTGGTATGGCGATGTTGAGTTTGCGATTTGCGATTTTGCGATTTTGATCCGAATCTGATTAGATTGATAAGATTATGCAAGACTAAGTTCCCGTGGCGTGGGGATGCGCATTAGCTACTCTACTATAGCGATATGAGGCTATAATGACTTGGTCAGTGCTACGTGTACGATTGGAAATGAGTAGGTCATTTGAGGTAAATAGGTCTTGATTACCGAGGTACTTAGATACCGCATCGGAATCTTTGCATCATAGATAATAGACTACCTTAAGTACTCATAATCATCATATGATTTTAGATCTTTTGTAAGTAGAGCTACATTATTTGCGATATTCTTCATGCGGCATACGGTATGCGACAAGCGGCATTGTAATTCTGTACTTTACCTTGCAATACTTACCTTGCATATCACTATAGCGAGGTTTTCGACGCTTTAGTTTGCTGCTCGACATCAGGGTTAAGGAATCCTCGGCGACGTTTTAATCCCTGGCAGCTAAGATGGGCATCATATATTAATGATCTATGTTTTACACTGATGAAACGCGAATAGATGGATATCATGTTGAGGCATTACTTCGTCCGTAAGTATTTCAATCCTCATGTTAATAGTTCGTTAACCGTCTGTGCCGCTGCTTCTAAACGTGGCACATAATGCGGCATAATGGTGCGTCAGATCCAGCACATTTTGCGGGAGGCTCGTCGCCTGAATGATCGACCGAACCTTGACCGCACCCTCTTCCTCGATCAAGACTCTTATCGTATGGAGAAGATCCGGAGAGAATTCCGAGTACCAACGGTACTGCCAGGTCACCAGGCGGATAACGGCAGCTATGGTATCTCTCGTCAGCTTCTGCTTCTCGAACGATCGCAGGATTCCCGATAACGCCTTCGGGCTGAACCGTGCGGCGAGACAAGCTCGATAGGCCTCGGCTGCTTCGTCGTGGTGCTGGAGGCGCTCTGCTAGAGCACCTAGAATCTCCCATTCCTCGGCGGATTTCTTGTATTGCATCGACTGAGCTCTGTACTGGGCCATCTGCGTTCTCCATATCGTGTATACGCGGAGATCTTCGTATAATACCATAAACAGGCTGTCCAGCCATCTTTCGCAAAGGCGCTTATTATTCAAGCGCGAGAGATGCTCGTCGGTGGTTGCACTCTGTAAATGTGTTAGTACTAGCCCTCGGAAGCGGAAGAAAGTTACTTACATTATCTCCGTCAGCTTTAACCTCACCAGGGTCGATGGTATGAGTCGGCTTCTCTACACCGCCCCCTTCGCCGTTGCCGTTGGTTAACGTGGGCGCTACAGAGTCGGTATCGGTTGCACTCTTCTCGTCATCAGCCTTCTCGTCGTCAGCGTCAGCCTCCTCCTCGTCGGTCTGATCACCGTTGGTCGTGGGCTCTGGGGTTCCGCGTAACCCGTCGATACTCGGATTGCGTTTTGTCGACTGGGCTTGCGGGACGCTATCCTGCTTTTCTGTCCGGTACTCATCCTCCATGACAAAAACGTTGCTCCGTATTTTAAGGAGCTGGTCCCAACCAATCTTTGCCGTCATCTCCGTGAGAATCCCGTAGGCCAGTTTGAAAGTACCACGATACGACGCGGCGCGGAGGTTAAGCAGGCTTGGATCTACCTGTTCGGCGTATCTGGATTCCGGCTCGCTGTCGATCTCTTCTAGACGAGTCTCGGGTAAGGTGGGAAGGTAGACATCCTTCGGCTCTGGCATAACCGGCGCGTCCTTGTCTTGGTAAGTGAACATAGGGCAAGAGTTCAAGATCGTGAGCGCGTTCTCCCAGTCTTCCATAGCAACGTAAACCTGCGCCAACCTCGCCCACGTGCCGAATTCGCTGGGCGCGGCGATCGTACTGCGGTCCGCGCAACCTAGCGCCATCTTCAGTCTTTCCTCCTTTTGCGCCGGGGTTTCGGCCGCCGATGCTTTCTTGAGGAGAAATTCGGCTTGGGTATCTAACATGACATAATCCATCGGAGAGTCCTTGAGAGCCTGGTATAATATGCGCACACCTTGGACTTCCTCGTTACCCATGAAGAGAACCTTTGAAAGTAGGGACGACACCTCGACATTCTGACTCCTCAACTTCTCGAAAAGGTTGATGCCAGAGGTAAAGCGTCCTGTCGTATAGAAATATTTGAGAAGGCCGGTGGTTAGGTGGTTCGATACGTTGTTCGGAACCTGCACGACGGAATCGGAACCTAGCTGCCAACCTGCAAAGAGTTAAGGTAAGCATCTGAATTCTAATAGACAGTAGGTTTGCGTACCCCTGAAAAAGAGGCTCTCGGCAGCGCTCAGAAATCTGTGTTCGGTCTCGGTGTTGGTAACGGGGTTAAAGCGTCTCACACCCATAATCTTCCTTATAGTATCGCCGCTCCCATCGTCAGCGTACGAATAGGCACGTAGAACGCTGCAGAGATATGTTTCCAGCCATAATTCGTCTGTGGCCTTCCGTTTCTCTCCCCTCTCGTCGACGCAGTAGGCTTCGACCGTCCCGGGAATAGTAACGTGGACGCGCATATCAAGTCGGGAGAATGCGTTGTAGCAGCAGTATAGACCTTCTACGATCTTGTGCGTGGCAACTTGACCATGCTCCTTATATGTGAGGGTGTTTATATAAGCGGCGAGACTAGCCGACGAGGACGCATCGACACCGGTGACATGGTGATATACTCCCGTCTGCGCCAGCAAATTTAGCATCGATCCTCGAAAAGTTGATTTATCGACATACCTGTTTTACAGTGTTTCTGAGGTTTTGTTTCAAGAGGTGGACTAGATCAGGAGGACCAAGCTCACGCAATGATACCAAGGTCTCGGTACGGGCATCGATTGATTCGTGTAGGACCTCTTCCGAAATTCTGCAGTGATTATTAGCGCCGACAATGCAATTGAAAAATACAATAATATTATTTAGAGGTGACTTACTCTGGAACCGCCGGTGGAGGCATATCGGCGGTAGAACTTAATGGTGAAGGGCGCGGTACTGCTGTGAGATGCCAATCAATACTCTCGATGTTATGGAGTGTCTGATATATTAGGAACGACTAGATTCGATTCGTAGGAACATAATATAGTAAAGTGAGGATTGAAAAGAGCGAATGGCGTCACGATTGGAAAGATGGTGCGGCGAGCTGCCCAAGTCTATACGTATACGGATAGGTATGATATGGTCTGTAATAGGAAGAGTGTTGATAGGGTCCGAATGGGGGAGCTTGTTTTTTTTTTTGGCAAACTGGATTTCCTAACTTTTTTTGAGGTTTGGCGCGCACGAGCCATCAAGAAGGTATGTCAAGGTGTCTTTTCTTTCGTCTTCCTGGAATCTTGGACTATGAATTTGGTATAGCGGGGTAATTAGGGGGGTAACTTCCACGTAAGGGTACCGCTATGCTGGGCTTCCCACAGTGGGGTACCTGCGACTTCCAATGTCATATGTGCCTTAGAGGAGGTACCTACCTAGGTCTAAGGTACCTCCTAGGTCTGTAGCTGTACCTGTACTAGCGGACTTAGCTGTCTGCAGCTCCCCTGGCCTTGCGATTTGGTTAATGGGCGCACGATTCGCGTCTCCTGTACATTTCCACGCGATTTGTGCATCATCTCTTTCTTCGGTATCTACCTCTAATTTTATTCTTCCTTTGATAGCGATAACGAACAAAGATCAACAATTATATTCTAAACTCTATTCGTATCAACTTCCACAATTGAGAAAAAGTAGAAATATATAGTAAATACTAAACGACTAAATTCCGTATGCTATACTGTTATTTCTAATTCCGTCAGCGCGGTAGGCGCAAGTTCGTAAGATGGCATTCTCCGCCATCAACGTCGAACCAGAGGAGAATATCGACGAGGAGATTGACGATACCCGCGAAATTCAGATCGACGAAGCCTTAAAGCGCTTTCAGACTGCCCTTAAACTTCACGCTCAGGGCCCTAAACATTACGAAGAAGCGTCGTCGGCCTACGAGTCGCTATTCGAGTCAGATATATTTCGATACCCCGAGAGTACCACCGACTTCGAGCGCGCCGAACGACAATCGGATCCCCGAACCCTAGGCGTCGACGTCCATTTCCCTCAACCTCTCGATGTTGCCCAAGGAGATATAGATGGGAGTGGTAGTAGTTTGCCTCAGACCCTCTATCTCGCTTATAAGAATCATGGTCAGTTTGCCCTTGACAATATTAGACATCTAGTCAAAGCAGGAGGAGATTCGAGATCCGTGCTACAAAACAAAAAAGTACTCGCTGCCGCTCAGAAGGCGCTTTATGAATTTAGCACAGCTCTAGATTTTGATCCGTCGGATGCCGAACTATGGAGAAGGGCCGCGCGTGTCGCTGCATTTTTGAATAGTGCTAGAATTAGTCGGTATTGCCTCGAGGCTGCTATCGAACTCGATGATGATCCAGCAGTGGAGGAAGTTGAGCCGCCCTCTCTAGCCGAGGGATTCGCTGGTGAGCAATTGAGGAAGCAACTTAACGTCTTATCCGACGATCTGGCACTATCGCACCCGATCATGGCTCCGTTCCTAAAGAGATCGATACCGGATCGTCTCAAGAAACATCTCGACCCTTTTCCGTTCCTTCCGAATCCTTGCGATTCGCTCGCGCCATCTCCTATCCTCGCAGCCTCGGCGGACCAGCAGACCCAGCGCCTTATTATTGACGTCCCCGTGGCCTCGTGGACAGATTTGGGCATGTCGCTCGTGCAGTTAGTCGCAGCCGATGGCATATCTGGAAAGGCCGTAACCCTGAAACTTCCAGAGATACCAAATGCTGAACACGACGTTGAGATAGTCAGCAATAGGCCAAAACCGATGCTGTCCGAGGATAATGGAAGGGCCCAGCTGGCTTCGGAAAACAGATCTCTAGTGCAATCCAAGGATGACCAGAGCGATTCTCCAAAGGAAGGCGTTGTTGACAACAGTATTGCTGCCGAAGACGCGCGGGCCGAACGTAGCACCT